TATTTCATTTGAAATATTCACACACAATGTATTTTTTTATTAAATAATACAAAATAAGCATGAACAGAGGATAATTATACCTAATTTGCATATTAACTGTTATGTTTTTATTATTGTTTTTATGTTATTATTGGTTATGTTATTTCTATTATCTTTTCTATATAGATATTTGATTATTTCAAATAGCAAAAACTCTTTATCTGTCATTTGAACTTACTTTGCCGTGCTACTCAAAATATATATTTAAAATTTGTTTAGTTATTTCAATAGAAAATGAAAAAATATTCTTAGTTATATATTATTTTCAATTATTCATTTCATATACTACAATTGATATCTACCAGACTATTTAGAATAATCGTTTTGAATATAATTCACATTATCTCTTTTATACATTATTTTATGTGTATCTGTTTATAATAATCCTTACACATTAGATTAAAGAAATAAGTGTCATTATATTTTCAAAAAATAAATTAATAGAAGAATAATATAAATAAACAATTAAAAAATGGTTTATTGAGAATAACATAATTTAATAAACAAAAAAAGGAACTTAAAAATCTCTTAAAAGCAGAAATAAAAGATGTCTGTACTTTCTACACTTAAACGAAAGGCTTATGAGACATATACAAAATCAGTTGATCTTGTAAAGCCAACACTTACAGAAAGTCAATTCATTGAAAAAGGTGTTTTAACTCCTGAAGAATTTGTTAATGCAGGAGATTTCCTTGTCAATAAATACAGAACGTGGCAATGGGTTGGAGCCTCAGACTGTAAAAAAACTGTAGACTACCTCCCTGCTGATAAGCAATTTTTAATTACTCGAAACATTAGGTGTGCAACAAGAGCCCAAGGAGGTCCTCCAACTAAGACTGAAACTCTTATAGTAGATGGAGAAGAGTTTGAAGTCCCATTAGAAGAAAAACCAGAAGAAGTTTTTGAAGAAGATTCAGATGAAATTGTTGACGCTGATGATATTGTTGATGCTGATGAATTATCAGAAGAAGCTGATGATACTGTTGCCACTGTGGATGTTGGCAAAACAAGGACATATGATATTTCAATTATTTACTCTCATTTTGATAGAACTCCTAAGGTATGGTTACTTGGATATGATGAAGACCATAAGCCTCTTACTGAGAGTCAAATGTTTGAAGATTTAAGTGCTACACATGCTGGTCAAACTGCTACTACAGACACACACCCATTCCTTGATATCAAAGAAATTTATATTCACCCCTGTAGACATGCACAAGTTATGAAAAAACGTGTTGATGAAATGATTGCTGATGGAAAAACACCAAGGGTTGATCTTTATTTAATGATTTTCTTAAAGTTCTTAGCAACAGTCATTCCAACAATGGAGTATGATTATGGAAAAGACTTTTAATTCATTTCTTCTTTTAATTATACTTTTATTTTTATAAAAACTTTAGATTATTTTCGATTTTGATAATTAACATATCTTTTTATATTGAAAAGATAAAATAATTTAAGAACAAGTTTCTCTTGGAAAAAAAAAGATTGTGAAAAATATGGCTGATGAACAGAATGAAGCCTTAGGATATGTCTGTGTTATAGTTGCTGTTTTATGTTTTGGTAGTAACTTCACTGTAGTGAAGAAATTTCCAACAGGAGATGGGTTTTTCTTCCAATGGGTAATGAGTATTGGGATTCTTATTGTAGGAATTTTTTCTCTATTGTTTTACAATGTTATTAATAAAGGAATCATTTACTTTGAACCATTTGCCATGTTAGGAGGGTTAATTTGGTGTACTGGTAACTTACTTTGTGTTCCAGTGATTCAGTTAATAGGTCTTTCACTTGGACCAGGCATTTGGGGTGTTGGAAACATGGTTATGGGGTGGTTAACTGGGACATTTGGGTGGTTTGGACTGAATTCTGATAAAGATAATGTAAACATTTTCTGGCTTAATTGTGTTGGTGCAGTGTTGGCAGCTTGTAGTGTTCCTTGTTATGCCTTAATTAAAACATCTACTAAAGCGGAAAGAGAGGCTTTGAAAAAAGCGGAGGCAGAAGCTAAAGACAACGAAATTGAATTATCAAATAGTAAAGAAAATAAAGCTGAAACATCTAAAAATTCTTCTTCTTCTTCGAGTAGAAGTAGTGATGAAATTCAACACCCAGAAGAAGAAGACATTAAAGAATTGAATGACAAAGCATTTGAACAAGAACCAGAAGAAGAAAATACCACTATTTTAGTATCAGAAGAAGAGTCTCCAATCTTCAAATTGTTAAAGGCAATGCCAAAATGGTTACAAATGATTGTTGGGTTAATACTAGCTATTGCCTCAGGGATATTGTTTGGTTCGGCATTTGACCCAGCAAAGTATTTACAAGACAATGGCCTTGCTTCACCAGAAGGAATAAACTATGTGTTAGCTCATTTCTTGGGCATTTTTTTGTCTTCAACATTTTATTTCATTTGTTATATTATTACGTTTCGAAATAAGCCTTTCATTTACAGGGAAACAATACTTCCAGGAATGGTCAGCGGAATAATGTGGGCTATTGCACAAGTTTGTTGGTTTGTGGCTAATACTAACTTACCTTATGTTGTGTCTTATCCATTGATTTGTGCTGGTCCTGGTCTTTTGTCTGCATTATGGGGAATTATAGTCTTTGGAGAAATAAGGGGATGGAAAAACTTTCTATTTTTTGCCATCGGAACTTTGATTCTTATTGGTGGTATTGTTTGTATTGTTGTTTCGAAATAACAACTTAATTTATTTTGTTTTTATTTTGAGAAAATTGATAAGGCAGTATTACAGTCTATTGGTTTAGTCAATGAAATGATGAATAAGTTTTATACGAAAAGCAATTGTGGTTATTTTATAAATTAAAATAATGTTGAATGATAAGAAATTAACCATAGTCAAATATAGACTTTTCTTACTTTTCATTAAAAATCTAATAGTTAATGACAATTTTTATAAGACATATCAAGCATAATACTATTTGGTTTTATCTAAGCCAAAAACTCCAAGTATGAAACATAAAATAGAATTTCTAGATTATATAATTATTTTTTTGGTAATACCAAATATAAGTTTATTTTTAATAACTCGTTTTTGTTTTATTTAAGAGAAGGATAATATTTGTTGAAAATAAAGTATGTGTAATAACTAGTTTTCATTTTTGTAAACACCAAGAATAATATTTATATAAACAAATATTCTATCATTAATGGTTTTCTGGGGGTTAAGTTCATTTTTATAAGGCTTTGACTTTTAATTTTCAAATGATTGATTTAGATAAGATTTTAGAATTTGATTCTTTTTATTGGTATTATGAGCTTCTTTATAAAGTAATATTAAGAGAGTCTTTTTTTACTGAGTTTTTGGAGTGATAATCTAGGCAAAGATAAAATTAATAACCTATGGGTTTGTTATAGCAAAAACTATAATAAAGTTTTTGACTATTTTAATTTTTGACTAAAATCCATGAACTGATATTAAAAAGTATAGTCAGTTATTAAAGGTATTTGACCAATATTTTTAGTAATGATATATGTATGTTTTATAGAGATTTAATAATTTTTGTTTTAATAAATTTTTTGTTTAACATGGGTTGGTTTAGTTTTAAAGAAAGAAGAGATGGGTCATAAAAAATATGAAGAAGAGGGTGTTAACTTGAATTGAATATAGTGATAAATTAATATTTCCATTCTTTATAATTCTTTGGTTCAATTAGAATATAATATCCTCCAGTTAGAGATACTGCAAATTGGCACGGTACTTCTTTTGAGATTGTCATGCAATGAACCTCAGCGTTTAATTTTAAAGTAGATAACATTGAATTAACTGAGATATAATTTAGAACACCCAAATCACTACTTTTTAAAATAACTATTCGTTCTTTGGAAACAACAACAACATGCATACCATCACACTAAACTGTGTTAAATCTTCATTTATTTATTTTGAGAAATTCAAATAAAACAAACTGAAAACTTTGCATCAATAATATTAGAACTAATTTCCCATGACGCCACAACACTTAGATCATTGAGACTAATGAGTTGTACTGAATTAGTTTCTACAACTAATAACATCATTCCAAAAACATCAAAACTAATTGGGTTATTAGCTATTTTACCTTGATTATCTTCCATAATGAAATTTCCGTCTTCATCTAATGAAGCAATTATGTTGTCAATGTACTTGATTGTTACAACTCTATGAGAATGACTATATAATGTTTTAAATAATACTTTTTCTGTATTGATAGTAGCAACCATTCCATTATAAAATCCAACAGCAAAAACGGATTGGTCAATTTTATTTCCGTCAATACAAGTAATACATTCATCAGGTTTTTTATCAGAAGAAAGATAGGCAGTAGTAACATGTTGATGTGTTTCAAGATGTGCAACTTCAAGACTTTCTCCCATACCAAAAACTCCATATAATTTATTTGGTAAAATATAAGAAAGAGCATAACCTGGCTGATAGACATTAATTTTACCAAATAATGTTGTTTCTTGTTGATTAATATTTGGTGAATAAAAAATATTTCCATTAGAATCAATACCATACAAAGATTTACCTGATCCAAAAACTAAGTTGATTAAAGTATATTCATGTGACATTCTTGATAATTTGTAATTAATTGGTAATTGTTTATGAGCATTTATTGTTTGTCTAGAATGAACTACTGGCAATTGTGTTAAATGAACTGAATCTAAAGTAAATATAACAACTTGAGGTGGTTGTATTAAGGTTTTAATTGCAGGTGTTGGAGAAGTTAATTTAAATGATTGGATTGATTCATTGTCACATTGTGTAAATACATATAATCCATTTAATGTACAAACATATGTTTTACCATTAATTGAACATGCATGTTGAGCATCAGAAATAGTATAAAGATACAATGATGGAATATCTTTAATGTATTCTAATACATTGCCATTAATTAATAATAAACATCCATTTGGTGTTGGTATTAATTGTACTTTTTTAGAATCAAAAATTGGAATAAATGAATGAAGATCTTCTTTAGCATAACACCTTTTTATTGTAAATAATGTTTTATTAATTTCAAGAGAAAAGAATGTACCATTTGTATCAATAACATATAACATACCGTTGTTTTGTGTATATTCAATTGTTTCAATACAGTTTTGGATTAATGGAATAATTGCTTGTTGATCTAATGTTGAATATTCAAAGAAAAGAACTGAACCATCTGTTGTAGAAAATACAACTTGATTTTCTTGCATTGAACAGTCTGTGAAAGTAAATACTTGCCCATTACATTCAGTTCCTTGTGGAACCATTCCAATATACTCTAACACCCCTTCTTTGCATGTATAGAATTCGGTTCCTGACATGGAAACTACACAAAGATTTCCTTGGTATTGAGAAGTTTTATGAAATGATGTAAGTACAGTATTTTCAGATAAATCAACATTACAAGTAATTTCTGTAGTACTGATATTTATTACTGATGCTCGTTTGTTTGAGTAAATTATTAATTGATTACTTTCTGACAATGGGATAATTTCTGTAATATTTGTTGTCATTTTCTCTGACTTTCTTTGTTTAGCTTTTTTAGTTTTTTTTTCATAATTTGTGTTATTTAATAACAATTACTTAATAACCAATGTAGTTAAAAATATTGTTATCAAAAAGATGTTTAAAAATGAGAATAGCTTATAAGTTTTTTTTTCTTAAAGAAAAAGAGTTATCACATAAAATAGGTTGGGTGACTTTAGTTTACTAACAACAACCACATCTTTTTTTATTTTTTTTAATCTTATTATTTTTAAATAGATAAATAACTCTTAACATCAAAGACACAAAACGAATAATGCACTTATGTTGGTACGTTATATACTTTGCTACAAAAGAAATAAACTTTCAGCTTTACATAACACTTTTATATAAAATTCTTGTTATTCATAAAATTAATCTCAAAATAATTAGAACTTTAAACCCTGAAATAAATGTCAGAAAGTAAATCCTCAACATCTTCGTCATCATCTCCATTTTCTTCTGTCTCTTCTTCTTCTTCTGTCTCTTCTTCTCAAATTTTAGATAATAAAGAAATAGATGAACAAATGTCAGAAAGTGAATCATCTTCTTCAAGTAATGAATCTACAGTTAACAATACAACTAAGGTTAAACCATTATCTGAATCTTCTTTAAATATTAAATCAAAACCACACCCCATGTCAGAAAGTGAAACCTCCTCATCGGGTGCAAGTAGTAAATCATCAAGTGAGTCATCATCATCCACCCATCCAAGTATCAAAGGAGTTGAAGAACCTACAATGGAAATTGAGTCAAAACCAAGCGATCAACCAGTTATAAAAACAACACTTAATAAGAGTCAAGTATCTAGCAGTCAAGAATTGTTATCACAACCAGTACCTTCAACAAGTAATCAGACTGTAACAGAACTATCTGAAAACGATTCTTCTTCAGATAATAAAGTTACAAAAGCAATGTCAGAAGATTTATCAATAGATTTGGAAAAAGATGATGAAGTTAGCAAAGGCGATGATAAAAGTAGTGAAGAAGACAATATAACTAGTGAAGAAGAAGATAAAAGTAGTGAAGAAAAAGATAAAAGTAGTGAAGAAGAAGATAGTAGTTATAGCATTGATGAAGAAGAACGAATTGCAAACCAAAATAAAAAATATTTAACACAACTATTAAAAGAATTTGGGGATGATGTAAATGAATTAAGAATGAAAGCAACATCATTTAAAGCAGTAAATATTGAAGAGATTACATCTGCATTAAGTCAAGGTATTAACATGTTTTCTGATTTAGAGTTAGAACTACTTGGAAAGGAATGTGTTGTTCCTTCAAGCTTGAATCAAAGTTGATTGAATTGTTTTTTAAAACGTAATTAAAAAAAATTTTTATTAAAAACTTAAAATAACTAAAAAAAGAAACATAAAAGAACAAGGATGAATGACACTAATACCACAAAAGATGAATATATCATGTCTCCTTCTAAAATTGCTATAAAACAAAATTTCTCCCAAATGGATTACCACTATGGTTGTTCTTGTTATATTGCTAAATTAGAAGAATCAAAAGAACAACAACGATTATATTTTAAACCAGAAAAAGAATATGGTATTGGAAGTCATTCATTATGTTCTATAAGACTAACACCAAATGCTGAACCATTAATTGCATTATTTCAAGTTAATTTAAGAGGAGATGTAAGCATTAATCCACGGACAAAAAAAACATCAATTAAAATCAATGGAAATACTATTACTACAGCAACAAAGTTAAACAACTTTGATGAATTAGACATAGGAGATCTTCATTTTCAATATATCGTGTTCTATGAAAATATTAAATATCAAAATAATCCTGAAGTTTGTTTTTTAGGTTTACTTTGTTCTATTAACAAAACAATATTTATACTTTAGCTCAAAGAAATAGATCATAAAGATATTATTCGTAATACATTAACAAAATTCTTTATTAATGAAAACTATAATAATTCCGATATGTCTCCATTTATCCAATCTGTTCATTCTTCTTCTAAAATAGATGAAGCTCTCTCCCTCTGTCTTAATATATTGAAAGAACTTACTCCAAATCCTGGAAATAATAAGTTCATTGGTCTTTTCAGGCAAATGACTTCTCAATTATTTTGTAGTTCTTCCTCTGGTATTGGAATTAACTTATCTTATTATGAAGCAGACATATATAATGTTACTAGGACAGTTAAAAAGACTCCAAGTCGTAAAATAAACTTTGATGAAATGCAAGACAGTGAAGACCCTTTTGAAGCCTTTAAAAAGGCAAATGAAAACAAACAAGAAAAGACTTTAAAGAAACCTCAAATAACTGATAATTAACAATAAATATTATTTGTGTTCAAATTTCTTTGATTTTATATTATTAACTTGTAAATAACATTATTTTTTTTTATTAGCTAGAAGAGTAAACTATGTTCATTGAGTTGGAATCTTTTTAATAATAACTATTTAGTTCAATTGCTTTAAAGATAGTGAATTGATAAAATAATAGAAATACTAAATAAGTAAATTATATACGTCTATTAGAAATAGGTATTTACAACTAATGAAAATGTTATATTCTTTAATTCTTACTACAAAGTTTACTATAATAAATACTTCTCTCAAAGTTTTCACAAATAACATTTATATTCTACTTCTGTCTTTTTAAACTAATAATAATTTAACTATTTAAAATAGTAAATCTTCAGGAAAAATTTTCATAATGTTTAATAATAAAATAAATTAATATAATTTACAATAACAAGTACCAAACTTAAGTAAATAAAAATAACTGAAAAGAATAGTATTTGTCAAATATAATTTAATATCATTTTTATATTAAAATGGTTTTATTTATCATTACCATATGAAATCATCTTAAACAATCAATTAATAATATATTAATGTTATTTTTCTATTTATTTAATAAAAATAAAATGAGTAATATGAGATTTAAGAAATAGAATGTTTGTTTTTATTATTCAAAATTAAAAAGGAATGTTTGAAGTAATGAGAGTCTATATTATAATTTTTGATTTATATAAGGAATTGTCATACTTATTTCTAATTATTTTCATGTATTTAGGTTATTATCTACAATAATTTTATAATAACATAACCAATAAGTATTTAAACGAAGAAATAATAATTTATTAGTATATACAAGTTTTTAGATAAAAAACACCATCCTTGCTATTTTTTTTTTCAAAACAAAAGTATTTTCAAATTAAAAGAACTATTTGAATTACTTTGATTAAAAGAAGAGTTTTACATTAAATATGATGATATTAGATATTAGATAAATCAACATCATTTATTTTATTTTTTATTATAAAAAGAATATAAAAGTCATGAAGTGAAAGTTTTCTTCATACATATATTGTTAATTAGTCGTTTTATTAAAAAGAAAAATAACAAATATTTAATTCCCTTTTTATACTGAATGTTATTTTACAACAACCATAACTCAATATCAATAAAGATATTCTTTATAATTGAGTGTTATTTGAGTATTAAATAATAATTAAATAATAACAAAATACTTCATATTATTAATATTTAAATTGAATAATAATATAATAATATATTATATTAATAAAAATACAAGCTATGAATATTTTTTAGACTCTTGTTTATGCCTATTCTTTTAGAATAAAAATTGAACATTAATAAAAATACACATAAACAAAAACAATCGGAAACAAAAGAAATGAAAAGTATCTTAAGATATAAAGAATTAACATCCAATTAAAGGAAGATTATTATGTCATAAAGTATTTTTAATTCAGTTTTATATAATTTAAATATTGTATATTAGAAAAATACTAAAAATTAATCAATATTGTTTCTTTTATTACTTTTGAATGGCAATATTGAGATAGTTTCAATAATCAAATACACATTATTTATATAAACCATAGTCTAATTAATAAATAGCAACTCTATAAAAATAATAAAATCAAATGAAGGTTATGTGATAACCGAAAAAATTAAATTAATCAATTATAAAGCAATAAAAATTATAATTATTTTATTACACCAATTCAATTTGATTTGTAAGAAGAAAGAAACACTCTCCAAAACTACCAACTCAAATACTAACAAACATAAACATACATTAAACTATTACTAGAAAGAAGAAGTCACATTAAAACAACAAACTATAATATATTAATAACCAAAAAAATAATGTAATAAAGACAAAGAAGTAATAAAAAGAGAGAATTTAATAAATGTCATGAAAATAATAATACATAATAAAAATATAAAGGACGAATAATAAAATTTAAATAAAACTACCGTCATTACATAATGAATATGAACATTGAATTTTAGAAAAAAAAATAAATAAAAATAAACTAATAAGTTTAAGTCTTGAACAATGAAATAGGATATATTTTATTCTTTTCTTTCGTTATTATATTTACAAATAATATTTTATTAACTATGAAACAAGTAAGTATTAGCTTATTATTTTTACTGATAACCCAATGAAAATTACAATTTTTATTCATAATCAAAAATATTATCGTATAATAACATAATAGAAATAATAATAATTTTAATAGTGTTTGTCCTTACTTCATCGTATTTCTTTTTCTTCTATTTCTTCTTCATAAAAAGATAGAATTAAAAAAATAGAACAAACAAGAATTTTAGAACTCAAGTAAAAATCAAAATCGTTCTAATGTTTCTAATTTTTTGAATAAGAGACAACAAGATTAATTGGTGATTATTAATGAACAAAACGTCTTATTTATCTTCAAGGATTTTGAGATCTGGTTTAAACAAAGAAAACATGGATATACCTGTTACTTTTTCAATTCATTATGTTACTTCGTATGGGGAAGAGTTATATATTGTTTTTGATGATGGAGTTGAACGGAAAATGTCATGGAGTAATGGTCATATTTGGACAATTCGGTGTTGTGTTTTACCACGATTAACTCGTTGGTGGTATGAAGTAAAACAAAGTTGTGTAGTAACAAGAATAGAAAAGGACTTACATTCAAGACAATATATCTTTGAAAAAGAGAGATTTTATAATATAACTGATTCTTGGGATTGTGGGGCTTATTCAATGAAAATAAGTGTTTGTTGATAATTTTTTCAAGACTTTAGTTATTAACTTATTTCATAGAAATTCCCTAAATTACAAAAATCAAACACTATTATTTTTACTCATCCTAGAGCAGTAACCCTTCCTTATTATAATAGGAGTCCTTTGGTTAGGTGTCGTATCCAAGAAAATAATGAATTAGATAATAATGTTCCGAATTATAAAGGAGTTAGATTTGATTCTTTTGATGATATGATGATAGAAGAAACACAAATTTCTTCAAAAGAAGGACATGAGTCAGTTTATCAACAATGAGTAAATCAATTGTATTTATTTTTACCAAAATATCTTTTTTGCCTTTTTCTAATTTTTTGGAAGAGATGAAAAAAGAAAGAGAAGTATTGGTAATTACGTTATTATTTAAATATTATTAAAATAATAAATAAAACTAAATTAAATAGTAACTAAAAATAAGAATGAAAAGAAAAATAGATTAGTAAATACTTTTAATAAAAAATAAAATAAAAAAAAAAAACTATGAACTTTGAAATGGTAAAATGTCTGTCAAATTAGTTGCTGTTGGTGATGGAGCAGTTGGTAAAACATCCATGCTAATTTGTTATACAAAAAATGAATTTCCTGAAGAATACATTCCAACAGTATTTGACAATTATAGTACAACAGTTACTCTAGGAGATGAAGTTATTTCATTAGCTATTTGGGACACTGCAGGTCAAGAAGAATATGAGAGTATTCGACCATTATCTTATCCATCAACAGATGTGTTTTTATTATGTTATAGTGTTGTTCAACAATCTTCATTAGATAATATAGCAGAGAAAGTTTTGTTTTTTAATTTAAAAAAATATGTTCAAGACTAATTATTTAGTGGTTACCTGAAGTTAAACATCACTGTCCTTCAAGTAGAACATTAGTTGTTGGTTTAAAAACAGATTTAAGGGATAGTGTTGAAGAAATAAAGAAATTAGAAGCTAAGAATCAAAAACCAATATTTCCTAACGACGTTCAAGAATTTATTAAAGAAAATAATATTGAATGTGATGGCTTTTGTGAGTGTTCTGCTAAAACACAAAAAGGATTGAAAGAGGTAATGATTCAAGCAGTGAGAGTTTGTGTTGGTAACGGTCATACTAAAACATCTACACCAACCCCAGATAAAGATAAATTAAAGAAAAAAAGTAAAAGTTCAAAAGAAAGAAAATGTTGTGTTTTGTTGTAGAGAAATAAAATGGTTCCGAAAATCAAGTATTCTTTTTTCTGAGTATCATTTCACATAAATACACTGTTGTTTCTGTTACTTTATAAAATTTCTTTTTTAATGAATTTTTTTTAATTCAAATAATAACTGAGAACTTTAAAGAATTTCTTTTGAATTAAAGATTGGCTATTCTTGAAACAATATCATCCTCATCTTCATCATCTTCTCCTTCATTAAATGCTTTAGGAACTCGAGACCCTGGAGTGTCTAAATCTTCAGGTTGTTCATTACCTTCTTTCCTTGTTTTAACCCCACCTTCCATTTGAACTTGTCTTCTTTCTTTAAGTCTAGTATTTCTTTGACGAGTTTCTGGGACTGGCTTAAGACCATTTTCAACATCTAATCCAATTTCAGTTAATACTTTATCAACTTCAAGCTCTGTTTCTTCCTCAATATCATCTCCTTCATATCCTTCATTCACCATATCACTGACCATTGTATTCTTAATTCCTAATTCAGCATTTTGTTTTTCTATGAAATTAGTATTAGTTATTGTGATTAATAACTTACAACATTACACATTGAATTAAATATATTTTACTATGAACAAGAAAGAAACAAACCAAAGTCATTCATAACTTTTTGCATTGCTGGTAATTTAGTTGCTTCATTTACTTTTCTCATTGCATTAGTTACACCATTCATTGCTTCTGTTACAGCAACCATTGAACTCATTTCTGTTAATTTCATTTTAGTAGAGTTTAATTGTGCAATAACAACTTGAAGTTTATCAATTTGTTTTTTAGTTTTAACTAAGTCGGCAGCCATTACCTTTACAGTATTAGTTCTTCCTAATCGAGCCATCTTTCTAATTTCATTTGTTAATCTTACTTCTTCACGTTCTAATCTTTTAGATTCTCTTGTAATTTCTCTAATAGATTTAGAAATATTTAATTTTTGTTCTCGGACTATTTCTTGAGGTGTTTTCTTATGAAATAACCTTGACATAAACTACTATAATTTTAAGTTCTTTTTTTCTTATAAAAATAGAGGATATAATTGTCATTTCTCTAAGTAATAAATAATGTTTTTATTCTTTTATATTTTTTTTATTTAAATTCTAGTCTGAAGAAAGTACATAGTCAAAAGCTATTTTAGTATAATCTTGAGTATGAACTAAATACAAAGACTAATGAATATAAAGTATATACTAATAGTTTTTCATTTTTGTTTGTATGTTTTTGTTTATGTTGAAGATAATTATATTAAATTCAATATCATTTATTCTATCTTTTGATTTAATATTATCTTTTTCATTAATATTAAGTACTTTGTTACTTATATATGATATTTAGTCTTTCCAATCAGTTTATAATATTTCATTATTTAAATAGTGCTGAATTTAGATTATTTATAAAAATCATTTAATTTGTTTTAAATTATTTTTTCATCATTTATAATTAAAAGACGTAAAAACTGCTAAAGAAGATGAAAGGATAGGATCAGTGTCCCTTAATCAAAGAACACTAAAACAAGTTCAATTAATACTTCATTAATTACTTTTTATAACTAGAAGACGTAAAATTCAATATAATTTTAATCATATATTGAAAAAAACCCTTTAAAAAAACAAAAGCAATTAATTAAGTATTAATAGAAC